ATATGGCATTACCAAAGGAATGCCATCTGGTGTCGAGTACGGTCTCCATGTGTAATACGTGTATTGACGTATCCATTCTCCCCGAGAATTCGGTCCACCGTTGTATCTATTCGTTGCGACCGCTGCGTACATGTTCTTTCTTTTGTCTACTAACGTGCTAGGCCTTATGAAGAAAGACTTTCACGTGTTTCATGTTCAGATTACAATGAGGCTCCGGGACAGCACCATATTACGAAAAACTCTTCTCTCAACCAAAGCTTTTTGATATTCTTATACTACGTTTCACTTTTCGAACAAATTTTTCAATTGAAAAAAACGGCCATAACTTATTAGCCAACCCAATATTTTCGTCTGGTGTTCTGCTTCGAAATACATTCCTGCCACGCGTTGTATTTCGTCTCGTTTTCTTCTCACAACGCCACTTTATTGAAATCCACATAGTTGGGTAATTGAACAATAGCTAACAACTACTACCACAAATCGACCAGACAATAAGCAAAATAAATCATTTATCGCTAATGTCGCAATCAGGCGCTTACAGTTCGCTTTAGGCGCCTGACCATAATCCCATAAGCCGGGATATCGTTTTTTCCTCGCTAACTACGATACTCCCACCAAAAGGCGTTGATGAGTGATAGAATCATCTGGAACTGGTCGATAATTTGTTGGAGTTTTCGCGTTGTCTTTTCTTTACCATCGCGTCTTCTTTCAGGACGTCAATTTCAACTTGGATTTTCGTGCCAACACCAGGTCCGCAGCCTAGTGCTGAGTGATAGTCTGATTTCCCGTAATGGAAACAACGGCTTTGATATGATTTCCCGTAATGGAAACAACGGCTTTGATAGTTTGAACAGAGTGTTCTCTTGTCACCACCACTCATGACAACGATAGCATCCATTGCTCTATTCTGCTGCCTCTGGCCCTTCCTCCTGCGCGTACAGAAGAACATGAATTGCTGTAGTGCTCTCCTAAAGTACTGCAAGAAAGCGCATCGCATATGTATATCTTTCATCAAGGCGGGAAATCGGTCCTCCGAACTGTTAAGGCTGGCACGGTTCCTCTCGCTCCATCAAGTGAATACTGTTCTCCAGATGGAATACCTCCATTTCTAACTGCGCTGGCATTTCTTGGAGTTCTTCCAAAGTTCTCACTGACTTCCATTTCGTTTTTCCTTGAAATTCTTAGAAGCTCTCGACACCCTCAGTTTCGACTTCTTCCATGTGTTCTGCGTTAACCTCAATCTTCTAGAATTCCTAATGCCTGTCAGCCATCAGCCTGCCACATCGAATGTGGAGGGCGATCGACCCTGGAGATTCGCCTCGATGGATTGCATGGTTTTCAGAATTTCTCTTTCAGAGACTTCTCTTGTGACCGCTCTTCAGCAAAAATGTGTGAGCGTAATTCACGAAGAGAGCGCAGTAGATCTTTGGAGGACTTCAGCTGGTCACTGATGATGGTTATCGACTACGTCGAGGTGTACCGGCAGAGGGTGTACACCTCGACGTAGTCAATACCACCACTAGTATCCACCAGTAACGCTATGAATAATGTTATCACAAGAATGCTGAGTTGTGGGCAAAAGTCGTGCCCCAGGCGGGAGTCGAACCCGCACCTCACGCTTTCCGGGCGAGTGCGCTATCCGTTACGCCACCA